TCCTTGAAAATTGAGCCCTTGTATACTCTCCAAGGATGATTGCCCTTAAATTGACAAATGAATTCTGTTGTTTTGTGAGGCAGTAAAATTAAATCTTCCAGCTAATAAGCCTAAGCCTGTCTCCTGGGAAAAGCACTTAATACATTTCCTACACATGGCGGAGATGACACTTAGCTTGTGGAGAAGCATTTCTGTCTTGGTATTGGAACTCAAATGGCTCTAATGCTCCAACAATGTTCGAGTACCAAATCAAGTCTCAGAAAAAGCCGGAAAGATTGATCCTTTTTTGGCCTCGATTAGGAGCCAAGATACTGACACCTGCATTACACTGAGGATGCTGGTTTCCCATTTGGCAGCACCCTCCCCACTTTGGTTATCACCTTCTTCAGCTCTGTCTTGTCTCTATCATTCTCTTCTTTGGGGAAAAACTCACACTGATCTTTCAGGTGTATTCAACTCTTGAAATAATTTTATTACTGTTTCTATGTGTTCTCCCTGTTACTGCATCTGGACATACAGCATACTATAAAATAAGATGGAAGTGGTAGCATAAGAGGTCTTCAAAGCAGACCCACCTGTTCAGTGCCTCTGACTGACTGTAAGGGAAGATATGAAGTAGATGTATTACATTTCCCAGTGCTAGGGAGGAAACAGGTACAATAGTTTCAAGTCCCTACCACCCAGAAAGAGGTCCCTGTGCTACTTTCTTTTTAATTAATAACAGTTTTATGTATGACAGTTGTATATTTGGATAATTCTGCATGATTTTTATAAGCAGTTGTCACACAAGAATGCACATTAACTTAATCTGTTATAAAGAATTATGACTAATGCCTTTTGTAGTATTTCATTTCTCAGGCTTTGCTGAACTGTAGCGTGTATTTGCATCATTACTTGCCTGTCCTCTGTACCCTAGGAAGACTCTTTCTTTACAAGTTAGAGCTGGCACTTGTTACCTTAGCAAAATCTAAGCTAAATTAACCCCAGGAAGAGGGTGAGATTAACAATACCTAGAGTTCAGTTTTAGTGTCTCTTTATTTTTCTTATGAATTTCCTAATATCATTTCTCTCTATCCTATTTATTTCCTCACTAGCTTTATGAGTATTGATACATTAAGATAGATATTGGTTGAATAGCTAATCCAGGACCTTGGTTTCTGTTTAAGGATCTTGGGTCTTAGAACCTTGACATCTAGGATGGAAACTAGGAAAGAAGGTAGTCAGGATCAAAAGACAAATCAAAGCTTTTCTCAGCTGATATAGTTTTCCCTTCTGTGGCAACTACTGAACATATGCTTAGAATGCTATTCTTCGGCTGGTCTCTTGCTCTTTGCATTCTGATTTCAAGAATCTTTGCTAACCATAGGAAAATCTCCACTTGTCAACAGTTATTTTCTAGTGGTAAACAATGGGAAGGCTCAATTTGAGAGAGAAGCAGCAAAGAAACTGAATTTTACCAAATCCATTGCAGCTGCCTTCTCATTGCCAAAATTTTTCCTATTTCTATTTGAGACAACGGTGTAGACTCACCCTATAATCGGCAATTATGGGAGATCATAATGGCCTCAGATTGCTCAAAGTAGGAGAGTATCAGCTGCGTCTCTCCTGGGATCATCTAGACACACGGTCAACATTACTAACCCAGAAGCCACGCATCCCCTGACTAGCTACCATGCCACCGGTTGTTGCAAATCATTAATACAGCCATTCCCTTTATGCCTGTAGTGTTTTCTACTTCAGTCAGCTTCCACCTCATCTCCTGTACTCTGAGTTAGCTGTCTGCTCTACTTTGACATTCCCCTTAGAAGTATCTACCACTGTTGAACTTTCATCTTTCCTTAGTTCCCTTGTTGTCATGGATGGGGAAGATAGAAGAACTCTAAGCCTGATGTCTGGAATCATCCATCACTCATCAGCTAGTCTTGCTACTCAACAGTGTCTCTTAAGGAAGCTGCTTTCACTCTATTTGAAATACGTGTTTCATCTCAAGAAACATACATGGGGAGCTCTACCAGGGTCTATAGTATGTGCTGGAGATACAGAGAAGTACCCGGCATGTTTCCTGCTTTGAAGAACTTAATTGGAGGAACATAATCACAGTGTTCCCCTCAAATGGAATTTGTTCTCAATGGTGCTGAACCTACGGCATGCATGCCACAGTAGACAGTAGAACTCTCTCTCATGCAATCTGAGTCACCCTAGCATCACCCCAGCAGCTGAGCATCACCTAACAGCACACATAGTGCCAGGTACATGCTCGGAATGGGGTAGCAGTGTCAGATAATGATGTCAAGAGTCACGACTCCGTCACAACTCAGCTGAGCTTTCCCGTGGCTGCTCAGGATTTATGCTTAATTGCAGTGCTTGCATTCTGCAAAACACAAATGATTTTCAGGTTGCAGTTCAGGCACTTGTAAGGTTCCTCATTGGTGTTCTATCTCATTCCCTTTTGTATTCAACAAACATTTGAGTCTACCATGTGTTAAACACTGAGTTACTCATAAATGATGCTAGTATACCCCAAACAGATGAGCCCCATCACTTCAGGATGCATTGTGTGGGGGGGAACTGCTTGTGTGGGGTTCCACCAATGACAGCAAGGGGTGCAAAGGATTACGGGTAGCACTAAATCAGTGCTCAGGTTGACACTACAATTTCCTCTCTTTGGGAACAAGACTACTTCCATTCCATCTTAGAAAAGAATTTCAGACCAAAACTTTTTGTTTGGCTAGAAATAAATCAAAAGCCCCACCAGCCCTAATTTTCTCATATAGTGATTTGTCCCAGATGAGCCTTCCTCCTTGCTGCAAAAGGCCCAATTCTTCACTCAAAGTCAACTCTGATCTCAGGGTCAGTTGCTGCAGGCTTCCAAGTCCAGGGAGAATAAACTTTGGAAAACACCAGAAATATGTTTCTCATTCAGAGCAATTTTAGTAATTCTGTTTTGTAAATGAGTGTCAGTAAAGCTAAAAATAATGTAAAATTTGTTTGATCTGAGTCTGCCCTCTTCATCAGGAATGAACTATTTTGGTGCTTCATTTCAATCATAAGGGAAAGAAACCCAAACAAGTAGAAGAAAGTGAGAAAGTCTAGACTGTTGGAAATGCCTCCAGAGCCTCTTGCATGCCCAGGGATGGGGAATGGGCAGGCAGAGGCAGTGGCCATGTGTGCCAGTGCTATCCCTGGCTTTAGGTACCTGTCAGCAACTATTTAGAATTTCTGGGGCAGAATGTAGGCTCCGTGTACTCTGTGCCCATGGGTTGTATACATGCACATTTGTCTGAATGCATTTGTGGAGGTTAGTGCATGAGTGAGTCGGTTCCTGTGTGTTTAAATGAGTAGATTTGATACCTTTCTTACAGAAACATCGTTAATTCGAAATAATACAAAGTGCTATATATCCCTGGTTATGTGGCTATCCTCAGTGGTGGAGCAGCACTCTCGCTGTGTGTGTGTGTGTGTGTGTGTGTCTGAACACAGAGGTCCCTAGAGCCCTTAATGAAAAGCTGGGCTCTTAAGTACTTGGTGAATGACCAGCTGGCCGCAGTTTTACAGCATGCCTGCATCCGAAACTGTGCATTAGCCAACAGGCTGAGAGGGATCAATCTAGACTCACATGCCCCCTTGCCATCTTCTCTATTCTCATACATCAAACACGCCCTTTACTGAGCGTTGTGTCTGTCAAGTGCTCTGTTAAGTGCCAGGTAAGCCTTGAAGACTTAGGATTTGTTCTCAAGTAGTTCATAGGAGTTCACTGTACCTTTCTCTTTACTCTACACTTAAAAGAAAGTTTAGGCCTCTCTCTTCTCCCTGCCTGGCCTTTCAACCACTCACATACCAATGATTTCCTTTTCTGAGAACTAGTCTGCTTCTCCAACTGACTCCAGGACCTCCTTGCTGATTGAAGAGTCATATAAAATCAACATGCCTAAGTCAACTCTCAGCCATCAGAGTGTGCCTTTTTCAGTCCACTCAGCTCAGACTACTACATAAATCATTCTAAAACAACACTCATATCTTTTCACCATCCTACTCAAATCTATTCAATGGCTCTGCGTTACCCACTGCTTCCCAGCATAACTATATTCATACAGCAGGTTGAAAGAAGCCTTCTTCCCTGACAAGGAGTAGTTCTACTGAAAATAGACATGCAGAACCAAGCTAAGTAGTGAGTAAGGACATTGTCTACAATAGAAACATACTCACCCAAGCAGTAGATTTTTATTCTCAACACAGTTACTCACTAACACGAATCGCCCATCACATGGAGTGGTTAGTTACTTTTCTGCTTCCCCATACGGTGACTAAATCTAATAGCTCATACTAGTAGATACTGATAGTGGCCTCTTAGGGTAGAGTCTCCTGCCTCAACTCTCCACTGCATTCTTTGCTTTGCAGCAAAGAAGGGAGAGAAGATGAGAGAAGGAGCCATCCTTGCAGATGGCTCATGAGCCACCTCCATGCTAGCTCTGCAGTGTTCTGACATATTCTTTGTGTCTACCCCGAAGTTCTCCCCATCCCCACATCCACAACAGGACAACTTTCCAGAAGTAGGCTGGATTTGCATCACTCTGGTAAGTCCTTGTCCCCAGTGAATGGAGGCCACCTGCAAGGAGCAGACTTCTTGGGTAACACCACAGGCTGCTTGATCAAGAATTCCTAATAGGACACTCTTCTCCCACGATGTATGTGTGCCAATACGTGCATGGTGGCAGGAAACTGAGCACGGAGAGGTCAGAAAAGATTTAGCAGTGGATGAGGAGTCAAGACGAATTCCTGCAGAGGAGAAGGATATTTCTCCTGGGCCTATGTGCTTTATAAGTGAGTTGGTGGGGGGACCAGGGAAAATTGATTTGGCTAAATATAGGGAAGTGACAGTAGGGAATCTAGATGAGACACGATGTCACCCTCAAACTCAGCTATGTAGGAAAATCCTGGTCTTGCTTTCTTTGATCTCTTGCATCCTCTTTCATGGTTAGCTTTTCAGGAACTATACTTACCATGTCAGTGTCTGACACAGGGCCAAAACTGGTCACATAGATGTCCGTCTTGACTTCAGTCACTGCATCTGAGTGAAACAAAGCAGAAAAGCAGCGTGTCATGAAAGTTCTTCCTTCACTCAGAGAGAGTCCCACACAGGCCTGTGAAGGCAGCCACGAAAGGGAGCCCGAGTCTGACAGAGCTGTGGGAACCCCTGAGAAACCTCTCACCTGTACTACTCCTTCACAGAGACCAGGTGCGCTTTGAGTATGTGGTAGGTACACAGTTAGACAGCACTGAAAATCACGGCAGGATCCACAGGCTACCCAGCTTGAGAGGGCCCTTGGAGACCCCTGCCATTCACCTGCGCTGGCTCTCGAGCTGTGCTTCCCTTAACTCTGGTGCTTTACAAATGTGCCAACAGGCAATTCCCCTCAGCTTCCAGGAGCACAGATCACTGTGCTCCCAATTCCTAGGCCACTTACAGTAAGGAATGCTAATTTGACAGGTTCCGGTTGTGGCAAGCAGTAATGAGTTCCCCCTACGGTTTCAATGTTTAATGTGTAATGCAAGACCCCCATGTCAGGGTGACCATGGGAACTTATGTTGACATGGTGCTGCCATGAGATTAAAACAGTCAGGAATGATATACTGATACATGGAGGACAGCAGCTGGGAACAGCTGACCGAGTCCACAAGAGACTTGGCATGACTGACTTTTGCTGGGTTCAAAGATGGAAATTTGGAGATAATTGATATCACTTGGTGCACGCTCTTTGCACTCATTTTCCTTAAGTGCATGGTTTACTTGGATGCATTCCTGCCCGATCTAAGAGCTTCTGAAGGACAGCAGCCTTGTCCTGTCTCTGTATTTTAAGCACATAGAATAGGGGCTTGTTACTAATGTGGTGCTCATTAAAAATTTGTGTGATGATGGATGAATCTTGCCCCATATTTGCCACACTAGAAAATGATATTATTGTTATCTTATCTATTTGTAGATCGAGTTGTGGATTTGTAGATTGAGTAGTCTATTCATTGTTATTGGTCACAACAAAAACCTTTGCCTTTGGTAATTTGTGAAGAACAGATGATGGTGCACTGCTCTGGAGTCTGGGAAGTTCAAGATCCAGTGCCTGGCAGCTCTGCTGCAGATGCAGGCCCATTCCTCATAGATGGAGCCTTCTGTATCTGGACATCAAGGGAGCGGCCAGGAAGTATGTCTTTGTCTGTTTGACAAAGACACTAATTCCATGCGTGCACCAATCACCTCAGGAAGGGTTCATCTCTTAATATTGTCAGAGTAGGGACTAAGTCTGTTGAACACTGGCACACATACACACACACACACACACACACACACACACACACACACACACGCCTCAGCAGATTCCCAGGAAACACAGTTACCTCACTATTGTGTTTCTCTTTCCTGCTTCTGTCATCCCTGTCTATCTCACTGCACCTCAGCTAGCCCACTCACCCCAGCATGTCTCAAACAGAACACAAGACAGCCTGCTGCAGTCTGGAAAAGCCTATTCCAGCCTACCACAAGTCTCATTGCTACACTAGATCAGAAAGTCCCACTCCAGATCAGTATGGTAGAGCCCATTTCATTAAACATGTTACTAGCACAGCTAGGATTCACAGACCCCAAGCAAGATTCAATATATGTAATGAGGCAGAGTATTGCAGTTTAAAGTACAATATCTTTGGTTTCCTGGAGAGCTAGGGCATGTGCCAACTCCATGTGTACTATATTTATTGTACTTCTTCAGCCCTGGATTCTTGGCCAATTTATTTTACATCTTGCTAACTTCTCGCTTTCCAGAACTACCCCTAAGGCCTAATATTTCGTGCCCCTATTGAGGCACTGATGTGCTCAGTATACTCAAGGCCACTGCACTCATCTACAGACACTGCATTTTCAGGAGAGACTGTAAATACCATTTAGTAATAACCAACGCTACAATCAGTCCATCAAAAGACACAATTTACTCCCAAAATTAATCAGCAAATAACATGTCTCTGAAACTAGAGCTCTGTTTTAAGTAGTTGGGTTCTCATCTAGAACAGAGGCTTCCCTTGGAGCTATTCTTGTGCTTGAAGAAGCAGCACCACACCTCCAATCCATTCCTTGGTTCTCTAAGTGTGCGTCCCTCTCACATATCTGAGTAGGCTCACTGGCTGGCAAAGCCAAGGCCAGTATACCTATACTATGGCATAGTGATCTCCAAGTGCCATGCCCAAAGTCCATGAAACAAAACAAATCAATGGAAGAGTCCACAATCACACTGGAATCCAAAATCCTGAACAGGGCATTACAGACACAGAACAACCTTCTTCACCAAAGCAGTTGCGGAATTGTAAGACAGTCATTCAGATTCCCAACAGGTAACTAAGCCTACAGGAAGAAGACAGAAAAATGAGGAAAGCCTACAAAATTGATGTGCATGCTAGAACTAGACTTACAGGGAGAACTCCCAATGTGAAATGGAAAGAAAGATCTCTCATCAACATCCTTCCTCCTGCTCCTCAGCCCAGCCCACTTCCTACCAACACTAGTAGAAAAGCCGAGGGGCAGGAAGCTGCTCTAACTCTGAGGGAAAATAGAGTCACTGTGGATAGGAAAGGAAGTGATAGTAACCAGCAGCCTCAGCCTGGGTGGAAAGGGATAGGTTCTGGAACGCTGCCCCCAACTCACTATGTGCCTTACACAAGATTTTTCTTTCCTTGGTTGTGTTTTTGCAGTAGCAAATGATCACTAGGGAGTTTATTCCAGCAACTGGACTGGTATACTGGACACTAAACTTCTTCCATTTCTAAGCCTGTTCAGGAAGAGTCCGCCAGGTAAGAGAATCAGGGGAATTGATGTGAAATGAAGGGAGATGGGAGAAGAAAGAAGGGAAAAAGAAAGGCAGAAGAGAAAGATTATTAGGAGCCAATTAGAGGAAAAAGAAGGAAATACGGGATGGATGGGAAGGAATAAAACAACGTGAACAGAACCAAAGGAAGGAGGTAACACAAAGACCCTGGTAGAAGAAAGAAGTAGCAAGAACAGGAGAGAGGGGAATTGGAAAGCAAGATAGAATAATACTAAGATATAAACACAGAAGCAATAATCTTCACCAGAGGAGCGAGACATCCCCTGTGCAGGGCGGTGAGAGCAGGGATCCTGCCTGGTATTCCATCAGCACCAGTGAAGGTGTGCTCTGAATTCATGTTCTAGGCCCCAGACCTACAGGACAGCATCTACACAGCTCTCTAGCTCCAAGGTGTGAAGGACAAAATCGGGAATTGACAGTTTCACTTAACAGAATGCAAAGAGCAGTGCAGTGAACTAAAATGGTGAGGACCATAATCCAGAGACTAACGCATTTACAGCCTTCTCGACAGACCCAAAGGTGGTATATTAATGAATGGAAAATAAGACTGGCTTCTTTTTCACCATTGCTTACAGATGCTGCGTGGCTATTTCTTCATTCACTTTGGGGGTATAATTTCCTTCCAGTGTGAAGCTGATTGGCTGAGGAAGCAAATGTCTATATGCCTACAATGGTCTCTAACTGCCTTACCGCCGAGTACATGCATCGAAGTAAATCAATTAATGAAAGAGATCGCAGTTAAATTTGGATCCAATGTTCCAGACACAAAATACACTAGACACAGAAAATCTTTCTAAGCCAATTATAAAACTGTAAGAAACAAAAGGTGAATTATCTTTTCCACTCAAAAATTTACTACAGTATTCGAAGTGCTTCCATAGTCCTGAAATAACCCACACATATATACATTATGTGCATTTCAGTATGTGGGCACACACACATGCGTGCATACCCTTAATGCTCACTGAGATTACTGTTTACAAGGACCTGGTCCCACACTATTGCTGTTTCCTGTTGATCTGAAAAAGCCAGTATTCTCCGTTAGTCAGCAAGTGATCATTGTGCTTACATTGAGTGTAGTCTCACGATAATCTGTATTTCTAATTTAACTTCAAATGCAAGCCCACGAGACCTTGAGTTCTCTCCATGAAAACCCTGAATTTGATCATAAAGTGGTCTTGGTATGTTTCCCAGTTCTAGCTGCTCTACCCCTGCATGCAAACACCAACTTAATCTCAGCACTGCCTTCTGGATCAACACAACAAAGTGCGTGCCCAGTTTTTTTGAGATCTAAAGAGCATGAGAGAGTTCAAAAAAGTGATCATTGTACACCCAAGTCTACTCTTTTTGATCCTTTTCAAACTAAGTAGCCCAACTTTCTCAATCTGTGGCTCTCCTTTCATACTCTTTTGATCCTCGCTATCCTCTGTCCCCTTTCCTCTGGCTCTAGCAGGTTGTTCAGGCTAAATTCACAGCTTTTGTCATTTGGTAGGCTTGAAGTCTGACACTGTCTTGTTTGTGTTGCTTCATGTCTTCCTCAGGACTGGAGTGTGCAGTGAAACTGACAGCCAGCTGTGTTTCTCTGAGGACTTACAGCAAGAACTTATACCACGATACCGGGAAGAAATCCTGCAAGATTGCTAGGAGACCACAATAAACACCACCTTAACTTTCCAGTTCTACTATTACACTAATATCGGTGGAATCTAGACTTTCACAAAAGTAACATGGAACAAACCTCACTGCCTCTCCCCAGAATTCGCAAGTACAGTGATACCTCGGTTCATGAATGCTTTTGTTCAAAAACAACTGGGTTTGCAAGCAGTAGCATTTGGCAAAAGTCTGCTTCTGTTTGCAAACTCTGCATTGGGAGAAAAACACAGTTATGGACATATTTCCCACACAAACACAAATATGGCCACCTTTCCCAAAAATCGAAGGCAAAAGTAAGTTTGTGAACCAAGGTACCACTGTAGCTAAGAAGCCTCAAAAGTAACTTTTCAGTTTCAAGTCAGATACAGCTGGTAGAGGGAAAAAAATCAGTGAACTCACCCCACTGCATTCAGCAGTTCTACAAAAACACTGATCCTCGAGCCATTCCCCCCACACTCTGCATTCTTGGTGATCACCCCAGCCCCAACCAGCACTCAACATTTAGGCTCCACCACACATTTCAGTTATCAACTAGACTAGTTTCATTTGT